GGTGTTCCAGGAATGGGAACTGGGGAAAGTCCAGTGAAGCCTAGAGGAGTGGAACGGCTGTGGAGAGCAAGCCTCCTGGGTGTCAGAACCCTGCTCCCTGGGCCGGCCCACTGCCCTTTGCTCCCTGCTCAAGTCGCCCTATTCCTCCCCAGACAGGGACCTGCTAAGTGAATCGCCCTGGCCTTGCTTCTAACTCCACTTCTGTTTTTAGATGCCACCTTGGCTGCTTCCGTTTTTTACACTCCTACCCTCTACAGCAAGGGAGCTAATGTGGTGCTTCCCAGGGCTGCAGGTGGAACAGTACTGGCCCCAGGAACCAGCGGCTTTGGCTGGGAAGCCCTGCAGGAAGACCTAAGTAAATATTTTGCCCCCAGCTCTGAGCTGGGAATCAGGGTCACTCCAGGACAAGCTGAGTGTGAAGTCCCAGGAATGACTTGGCAAGGTTGGGAGAAACTGATCAGGGCCTTGGCCAAGCTTGGAAGGAAGAGAAATCTCACCAGCTGACCCGTTCCCATTATCCTTGGCGTAGAAGTCCCATCCCCTTTCCACCCAAAGGCCCTGTGGTAGGCTAGTCTCTCTCTGGTTCTGCATCCCCTCACCCTCCCATCCTAGGGCAAAAGCACAGGCTTTCTCAATCTCAGCACTATTGACATTTTGAATTGAATAATTTCTTGCTGTGGGGCTGTACTGTGGGGGCCAGCCTCCCTGGCCCACTAGATGCCATTAGCAACACAACTTGACCCCTCCCCATGACAACCAAAAGTCTCTTTAGACGTTACCAAATAGTCCCTGGGATCCCGAATTGCCCCCAGTTGAGAACCACTGAGTTAGACAAACTTGGATTCAAATTCTAGCTCTTACCAGCCCTGAGCTTGATGAAACACTTAACATCTCTGAGCCTCAATGTCCTCATCTACAAAATTGAATGAATAATAAATTCATATTGTAGGGATTAAAGAAGGAAATGCCTAGCACAGTACCAGGCTCACGGGCCCACAGTTGGTGCATTAAACATTAGCTTCCTTCACTTCTCTCCCTGCCAGATCAGCAAAGGCTAACTCACCCGGCATGGGCTGACTGCCGGGGCAGCTGCAGCTTGCCTCCCTGACTACCCAAGCCATGACCTCCAGGACACTCAATATGGAGGTTGGCAAAGGGGGCTGGCTAATTTGGTCCTAGATTCTCCAAAGTCCAAAGGTGCTTGGGTTGGGATTCAAGGGAAATTTGGGAATAGATTTGTTACAAAGCATTATATCTCAAGATGTGGCCTGCAGATTGCCTGCATCAGAATTACCTGGGGTGCTTATTAAAAATTCAGATTCCTGTCCTAGCCAGTTAGGCACATGCCCGGGTTTCAGGCTCGATCCCCAGTAGGGGGCGTGCAGGAGGCAGCCAATCAATGGTTCTCTCTCATCATTGATGTTTCTATTTCTTCCTCTCCCTTCCTCTCTGAAATCAATAAAAATATATTTTAAGAAAATTCAGATTCCAGCCCTGGCCAGTGTGCTAAGTGGTTAGAGCCCACACACCAAAGGGTCTCGAGTTTGATTCCTGATCAAGGGCACATACCTGGGTTTCGAGTTGTGCCCCGTCAGAGCATGTGTGGGAGGCAACCAGTAGATGTGTCTCTCATGTCGATGTTTCTCTCTCCCTCCCTCCTTCCCTTCCACTCTCTCTGAAAAGCAATGGAAAAAATATCCTCAGGTGAGGATTAACAAAAAATAAAAATCCAGATTCCTGGATTTCATCCCAGGCTACTGAATCAGAAGTACATCATAAAGTTTGAAAACCACGGTTTTAGGGCTCAGATTGGGGAAGGTGTCATTGCCCCAGAAATCTTAGTGCACCCAGTACCCACCATTGCAAGGACTCTCTTATTCAAGAGAAAGAAAGAATTCTGATTGGATTTCCTCTCTTGGAAATACATGTTCATTGGCAGCAAAGGTTGACCTGGCTCTGTATGATTCATTAATCCTAACCAGTTCATTAATTCTCTTCTTTGCTCTCACTGTTCTGCAGATTCGGGCTATTACTAGAACAGTAAGATTTATTTTAGAATCTAAGCTACCTCTAAATGTTTTAAATATTCCCTTCTATATTCTGGCATTGAAAAGGCATAACTTAAAGTGAAAATTAGAAGGAAAATCTTATGGAATCATAAAAAATAAAAAGGAATTCTGAGGTAAGGTTAGTTACACCCAAGGTCATTGTTGCATTGCAAGCCAAAACCACTAGAGGGCAGGGCACACACAGACTTGCAGAAAGAAAAAGTAGTGCCTGTTCAGTCTAGGTAAACTGAGACCAGAGTAAAGACCAGATGGACCTAATTTTATTGGTACTAAGAAGCAAGTACTACCTCCTGACCATCAAAACCTATCCTCTAGCCTCAGGAACACAGACCAAAGTTGGGGATGAGAGATTGACAGGAACACCTAATTTCCCCGCTGGAAAAAACAATAGTGCAATGGCCAAGGAGTACAGAGAACACTGGTTTTAGATAGGCCTGGATTTGAATCCTGGCTCTACCACTTCTTAGCTATGTGACCTTGGGCAAGTTACCTAAGGTGGTCATTCTCCTAATCCTAATGAGGATTAAACAAAACAAGGTATGTGAAGTGTTTAGCGTGGTGCCTGGATCCTAAATAGTGGTTGTAAGTTACTACTTATGACCCAGGTCCTATGACCAAGTACTTCAAGGGTTCCAGCTGCTCCTTCAAGAAAGAAGACACAGCAGCCCTGGTCGGGTGGCTCAGTTGGTTGGAGCCTGGACCTGTACAAGGTTTTGGGTTTGATTGCCGGTCAGGGCACATACCTAGTTTTCGGGTTCAATCTCTGGTAGGGAGGCAGCCGATCCATGATTCCCTCTCACATCCATGTTTATCTCTCTCTAAAAACAATCAGTAAAAACATATCCTTGGGTGAGGATTAAAAAAAGAGAGATGGAATCAGATTATAGCTGAGCCATTCCTGTCTCCTAATTTGGACTGCAGTTTTTCTTAAAGTGATCTTAAGGAATCCTGATGGAATCAGATTATAGCTGAGCCATTCCTGTCTCCTCTCTAATTTGGACTGCAGTTTTTCTTAAAGTGACCTTAAGGAACTCCCTACACCTCTACACCAACTACTACACTCTCCTTCTCAGGGTGAGAC